AAAATTTATGCATTTCTCCCAGGTTATGAAATTTGTGGCATATAATTTTTGATATTTTCTTTAATATTTTGTATTTCTGTGGTGTCAGTTGTCACTTCTCTTTCATTTCTCATTTTATTTTGGTCTTCTAATTTTCTTGATGAGTCTACCTAAGGTTTATCAATTTTGTTTATCTTTTCAAAGTACCAGCTCTTGGTTTCATTGAGTTTTGCAGAGCAGCCGTGGGGCGGGGGAGTTTCACAGAGCAGTGGTGGGATGGGAAGAGTTTTGCAGAACATCCAGCAGTGAGCTTCGAGGGCGGCAGCAAGCTTCACGTAGCCCCCACCTTAGGTCTGCCTTCCAGTTCACCCAGATTAGGTTCTGATTGGTCGGTTTCTATGCATTTCAGCATCAAAAGCTTTGCCTCCTAGGCAGCCATTGGCAACTCGCACTTCATCCAGATTTGGTTCTGATTGGTAGGTTTCTTTGCCAGTCAGTGTCCCTATCTTTGGGCCTGATCAAAGAGGCAGAGCTCCCGGAGAGAAACAGAGGCCTGGCTGCTGGCGAAGTCAGGAGAGAAAGAGCGAGGCAACAGCTGATCAACAGCTGCCACGGATGCTAGAGATCAAATCCTGCCTCTCTCTGAAGGCCTCACTCTGGGCCTGATCCACAGTCCCTTGGCAGTCAGTGCTGGGTCACTGGGCCGGCACCAGCTGTAGTCAGTGCTGGGTCACCACAGCAACCCAGCACTGACTTCTGATGTTCGGTGGAGCCTTGGTCATTACAGACCCTGGCTCTTTATATATTAGGATAGTTTCCATAACCTTTGTGATCTCATCCCACAAATGAATTCTCAGTTGTTTTCTTCCTTTGCTTTGTGTACCTGTTAATATCACAGTTATTATATCAATACTAAAAATGTTAGTTTAAAAAGAAAAAGACCCAACACAATGGAATATTTAAAACAAAACAAAAAACAGTATTAAATGGAAGTACAAACAAGAATGTCATTTGTAGAGACAGTAGAAAGAAGTGTTGAGTGGTCAGGCTCCAGAGCCAGCGTGCCTAATTTAGTGCTTGTGTAATCTTGGGCAAGTTTTTTAAAACTCTGTGCCCCACTTTCCTTTTCTATGCAATGGAACAATAACAGTAATAATCTCAGAATTGTTGAAAATTAAATGAGTTAAATCATCTAAAGCAATTAATATTTTTGTTGTCATTATATATTTTGTTGAATGCAGAGAAGAAGGGAGAAGGATAGAGAGATAGAAGCATCAATGATGAGAGAGAATCATTGATCAGCTGCTTCCTGCACAACCCACACTGGGGATCGAGCCCACAACCCTGACCAGAAATCTAACCGTGACCTCCTGGTTCATAGGTCAATGCTCAACCATTAAGCTACACCAGCCGGGCAAGCAGTTAATATTTGACCACTGTTTTCCAAATAGGTGGATAAAAGTCCAAACACTGTTGATAAGGCTGTTAGAAAACCAGGAGTCTCATTCCCTGCTTAGTACTAAGCCTTATGGAGGGCAATTTGGAAATCCAACTTTTGAGAACTTATTCCATTGATATTTTTTTTTAATATATATATTTTATTGATTTTTCTACAGAGAGGAAGGGAGAGAGATAGTCAGAAACATCATGAGAGAGAAACACCGATCAGCCGCCCCCTGAACACCCCCCTCTGGGGAGGTGCCCACAACCACGGCACATGTCCCCAACCGGAATCAAACCTGGGACCCTTCAGTCCGCAGACTGACGCTCTATCCACTGAGCCAAACCGGTTTCGGCTCCATTGATATTCTTTTATAGGTCTGAAAAGACAGGTATACCAGGTTTTATATCTCAAACGGAAAACAAATATCCACCAAAAGTGATGATTAAACAAAGTATGGCAACTTCATGACATGGAACACTATGTAGCAGTTTTGTTTTTTAAACAGACTGGCATGGAAAGACCTCTTAGTCTTTTTATAAGTGAAAAATGCAAGATGTGTAGAACAATGCATATGGTATGTTATGTTTTGCATAAAAAAAGACTAAAAATCAAAATACATATTCATCATTGTTGGTTTTTGCACTGAGAAACTAACAATGGTGGAACAAAACTGGGCAGATGGAAGACAAGATGGGAGGGACACTCCAAACTGTTTATGTTTGGGCTTTTTTTACTTTTTTAGTATATGAATATTTTACCTATTCAAATATTAATTTCAAAAACTATTTTTTAAATATATATTTTATTGATTTTTTTTACAAAGAAGGGAGAGGAGAGAGATAGAGAGCTAGAAACATCGATGAGAGAAAGACATCGATCAGCTGCCTCCTGCACACCGCACTCCAGGGACATGCCCGCAACCAATGTACATGCCCTTGACCAGAATCAAACCTGGGACCTTTCAGTCTTCAGACCGATGCTCTATCCACTGAGCCAAACCGGTTCGGATCAAAAACTATTTTTTTAATGTTAGTACTTGGTGATGGGGGGACATGAAGAGATAGAAGAATTTATATGCATAGCCCATGGACAATAGGGTGGTAAAGACCTAGGGGCATCGGTAGGGGCTGGAAGGAGTGGGGGCAAGTGGGGGGGAGAAAGGGGGAAAGGGGAAATGGGAGACATCTGTAATACTATCAACAATAATATACATACGAAAAAATGAATGTCAGTCTTATACCTTATGCTCTTGAATGTTAGATGCAATTATTACTGTTATTTTTTCCAAATATATATATTTTTTATTTCAGAGAGGAAGGGAGAGGGAGAGAGCGATAGAAACATCATTGATGAGAGAGAATCTTTGATCAAGGTGCAGCCAATTAAGTCCACAACCCGGGCATGTGCCTTGACTGGAATCGAACCTGGGACCTTCAGTCCTCAGACCAACACTCTATCCACTGAGCCAAACCATGTAGGGGCATTACTGTTGTTATTAGTAACACTAGTAGTAGTAGTAGCAGCAATCTCAAAAAACCTTTCTTGCCTAAACCAGTTTGGCTCAATGGATAGAGCAACGGCCTATGGACTGAAAGGTCCCGGGTTTGATTCCGGTCAAGGGAATATGCCTTGGTTGGGGACACATCCCCAATGGGGGGTGTGCAGGAGGCAGTTGGTTGATGATTCTCTCTCATCGATGTGCCTAACTCTCTATTGCTCTCCCTTCCTCTCTGTAAAAAAATCAATAAAATATATATATATTTTTTTAAAAACAACCTTTCTTTTTTAAAATTTATTTTTATTGACTTTAAAGAGAAAGGGAGAGGAAGAAAGAAACAGAAACATCATTGATGAGAGAGAATGATTGATCAGCTGCATCCTGCATGACCCACACTGAGGATCAAGCTGGCAACCCAGGCATATGCCCGGACCGGGAATCAAACCGTATCCTCCTACTTCATAGGTCAATGCTCAACCACTGAGCCACACTAGACAGGTATCTAATTTTTTTAATCCTCACATGAGGTTATGCTTTTCATTGATTCTAGAGAGAGAGGTAGGAAGAGGGGAAAGGAGGGAGAGAGAGGGGAAAAAAAAAAATCAGTTGCCTCAAGCCTACCAGAGATAGACTGCAACGTGTATTGCCCTGACCAAGAATCAAACCGGTGACCCTTCAGTGCACAGGATGACGCTCTAACCATTGAACTACTGGCCAAGGCTCAAAATACCTCCTTTCTAAAGCCTTTTTCTTACTCTCTCTGCACAGAAGCCTCCTCTAACTCCTGAATTATTTAAGGAATTTATCATTTTCTATTCTATTGTAAGTGTCTTACGTCTTATTCATGTTTAATATCCCAGGAACCTTGCTTAGTTTAGTGGATACAAACATTCTGGTGAAACAAGTACTCCAAAGAAGAAAACAGTGACCATTTCTAAAGGGATTATACTCTATGAGACCTAAAATTTGAAAAACTTGAATAACTAGATTTGCTAACATTCAACTACTGCCCAACTAAAATTTCCTCTCAGTCACAGTTTTTCCTTTGCCCAGGATTTCCCTAAGCATGGGGCATCGTGTCCCAAGCCAAAACACTGCATGTAATAACTCTTTAACTCACTGCAATCCCTGAAATGTCTTCTCTTCCAAACCCCAACACCCTGGTACCTCCCACCTATTGAAAAAAAAAAAAAAAAAAAAAAAAAAATTTGTTGAGTGTCTCCTTTTAGAAAGATGGCACGTATTACACAGTGAATAAGGTGTCCTTTTAAACTGGAGAAGAGCGAACGTCTGATTCCTGATTTGCTCCGTGTTTTGTCTGTTCTTCTGGTATAGAGGGTATTCTATAACTGACTGCTCGGGAGCCCGATTCGAGATGTCATGCCAGCACACCAAATGCCCACTGACAGCTCAACAGTCGCTTTCCCTACAGGCCCCTCCCACTCGCTCCGCCCTCCACCCCCAGGAGCTCCAGAGCTGCTTCGCTCAGAGACGGCCGCGCACTGACAGTTCAGAAGCCCTTCTCCCGGCACCGTCCTCCCCCTGCGGGCTGCAAGACCACCTCCCCGCTGCCTCTCATCACCCCGCGATCCAATTCGGCCCACCTACCCCTCCCAGCCGAACCAAATCACAGCGTCATGTCTCCCCAAGAAGCACGCAGCTGTCTGTGCACAGCCTTTCCCAACAAGTGCACCACTGACAGCTCGACACCAGACTCCCCAGGCATCCTTTCCCTCCTGCTACCCCAGCAGGCACAGGCTCCTTTCTCGCCATCACTCAAGTCGGGGGGCCCCGGCTTCCCCCCAACATTCTCAGCCCGTCCCTTCAACACGCTCCCCGCTCTCCCCTCCCTGTCACCCCCTCTCCGCCGCTGACAGCTCCGACACCTCCATCCGCGTTGTGTCTGCACCCTCCTCCCCGGGCTCCTTCCCCTTCGCAGCTCAGGATCGGCCCCCCACGTCCCCATCCATCCCCGGGCTCCCAAAACCCAGGCCTGCACCCCCCGCTGCGCCCCCCGGCGCCCCGGGGGAGGGCGGGAGGGAGGGAAGGCGGGAGGGAGGGACGGAGGGCTGCACTCACCCGCTCTCCCGCATCACGTTGCTGTCCCCGCAGTCGCAGGCGCCGCCGGCCTGGCTGCGGAACATGTTGAAGTCGTGTCCCGTGTGGTCGCCCTGGTGGAAGCACTCGGCGCACAGCGACATGCACGGGGAGATGCCGCACGTCCGGCAGCGGTAGGCCACGAAGTTGGCCGTCCAGACCAGGCCGCAGAGCGCCGCGGGGTCGTAGGCCCGCACGGCCGCGCAGAACTCCTCGTAGCCGCCGCCGCCCGCCAGGAGGCACTTACACCACTCCAGGGCCTCCTCCTCGGCCGCCGCGCCGCCGCCGCCGCCCGCCGCCTCCTCGCCGTCCGCAGCCGCGGCCAGCGGCCGCTCGGCGCTCAGCACCCGCTCCAGCAGCGCCTGCAGCTCCTCGGCGCCCGCCCGGTTGTCCGGGCGGCTCAGGGCCGCCTTCAGGTGCGCCGCGGTGGCCGCCTTGTCCAGCGCCAGCCCGGGGGCCGGCGGCTCGGGCTGGGGCGGCTGGGGGCCCCCGGCGGCCGCCGCGGCCGCCGCCGCCATGATGAGAGCTCAGAATTCGGAGAGCCCAGGGCCGGCGGCTCCTCCCGGGACGGTGGGGGGAATGGACTGCTGCGGTCGCTCCGTCCGCCCAACTCTCGCGATAGCCGGGAGCTGCCACGCACCTTCGCCCCGGCGCCGGCACCGCCCCCCGCGGACTGCGGCGCTGGTGCGGGCTGCGCACGCCGCCGCAGCTCAGCTCGCCTGGGGGCCTGCCGGTCCGCTCCCCGCCGCCTCCTGGCTCTCAAAGCGAAGAGCGACGGAAAGATTTCATGTGAAAATTCTCTAATATGAAAAATCTTTCATGTGGACAGTGGTTGTTTTTTTGATGTGCCTGGATATAGGAATTATACGCAGCATCTTTCAGATGTGTTTTAAGCATCTGCATTTCGTTTCTGCGATAGAAATCCCCACTGTCAAATCCATAATGAATATGTCAATGGCAAATGGACACAGGAAAGGTGCTCAGCATCATTAGTCGTGAAGGAAATGCAAATTAAAACTACGAGATACCGCTATACACGCCCACTAGAATGATCAACAAGACAGACAACAAATGTAAGCAAGGATGTGGAGAAGCAGGCACCCTCATAACTCACAGATGGGAATGTAAAAGAGTACAGCATGTGGGGAAATTGACATGTTTGACAGTTATCTTGACATTTATTACAGAGCCCTTCAATTCCACTCCTAGGAAGCTACCCAAGGTCATTTACAACATATATTCACACAAAGACTTAAAGGTAAATATAGTAGCCAAAACAAAAACAAAAACTGGAAGCAATCCAAAAGTCTATCAATTCATAAATGGATAAACAAAATACGATATATCCATATAATGGTATACTACTTAATAATAAAAAGGCATGAAATATGTGCTATAACATGAATGAAGTTCAAAAATCTTATGTCATGAAAGAAGTCAGATACCCTCCAAATTTTATATTGTATGATTCCATTTACATGAACTGTTCAGAAAAGGCAAATCTATGGAGACAGAAGTAGATTAGCAGTTGAGTAATCTATGGGAAGTTAAGAACAGAAAGTGACAGCAGCCGGGACCGGTTTGGCTCAGTGGATAGAGCGTCAGCCTGCGGACTGAAAAGTCCCGAGTTCGATTCTGGTCAAGGGCAAGTACCTTGGTTGTAGGCACATCCCCAGTGGGAGGTGTGCAAGAGGAAGCTGGTCGGTGTTTCTCTCTCATCGATGTTTCTAACTCTCTGTCCCTCTCAATTCCTCTCTGTGTAAAACCAATAAAAAATATTTTTTTTAAAGTGACAGCAAATAAGTACTAAGGGTCTTCATAGAATGATAGAAATGTTCTAAATTTGGATTGTGATGATAGTTGTGCAACTATGTGAAATTTACTAAAAATCATTGTGTTCTACTCTAAAAACAGGTGGATTTTATAGTATGAAAATATACCTCAATAAAACAACTAATGATCATAATCAGTGGTAGTACTCATTGTTTGAGATGGATAACAATCCATTTTCTGTCCAGATAGAAACTATTTTACTGCTTTAGCTTTCAAAATCAATATGACAGGCTCTCAAATTTTTGGTTCTCCTAAAGTGTCTGGGACTTCTATCATTTGAATCCAGGAAGTCTGACATTTTTCCTTTTCAATGCATTAGTGTAATATAACAATTCTTCTTCTAAATTACCTCTCAAATAACAGTGCTGTGTAATGGGGAATTCCTACAGCGATCATATTTCCATGAGGGAAAGCCAGATTGAAATTCAGCCGAAAACTCAGTAGTCACTTCAATGTTATATACCTCATAAGATTTCATTTAAGTATGTTACTATTTCTCCACTGAAGACATTGAATAAATAATGCAATATGCTGCTGTTACTGAAAGCTAAAAATAGTACCTAAAAAAACTGTGCTCTTAAATTTCATCTTAATTAATGCAAAGAAAAATCTGGTAATACTTCTAAATTGGCTTTTCAGATTAAAATAAAACACACAGATCAGTTAAAAGCTATAAATAAATAATAGATAACATCATTACTTCCAAACTTAAAATAGATACCTTCAACAGAGAATTTAAAAATTAATTAAATACTTCAAAATTGTTTTTGTATTAATTAAGATTTTCTTAGTTGCAAGTGATAAAAACCCAACTTGAACTAGCTAAAGCCAAAAGAGGACCATATTAGATCACACAGTAACCAACGGAGGAAAGGGGGAAATGAACCTGGATGTGTATCCATCTTTGTTTTGGGCGAGCATCAGCTCTGTGGTCTTCTGTGCATGGGCCTCCTCTTACCCCAGCTCTAGGCCATATCCCACTTCACAACAAAGAAAAAGGGTCTCTTCTCTGCCAGATCCACATCAAACCCTAGATAGCCCAGGCCATCCCTACCATCAGAAGTAGAGGAGGCCATACCTGCCAGGCACATAAATATACAAAATGCTTAGAACATTAATTTTTCAATTTCTACCTGGCCTCCAAATACACACAAGACCTTCTCTACATACACAGCAAATTTGCCAGTTCTAATGACAAATGCTGAAATTTCACATGGTAAGAAACATTGTTCCTACTATGAACAGGAATTCCTACAAGTGAGCACATTCCTACAAGAATCACAACCATCCTGAGAGGCACTTCTCATTATCCCTATTTTACAAATAGCAGTGATACTCTGCATTTCACAGCCTTCAAACCATAAGAACAAACCCTGGTAGAAAAACCATTCATTGTTCCTGAGTGGGCCTTTTTCCTTCCTTCCTTTCTTCCTTCTTTCTTTCCTTCCTTCCTTCCTTCCTTCCTTCCTTCCTTCCTTCCTTCCTTCCTTTCTTCCTTCCTTCCTTCCTTCCTTCCTTCCTTCCATCTTAAAAGCTACCTTGCAACTATACTTACTGCTAGTCTCTCATTTGTTTAATATTGAAGCAAAGACATTTTAGTAATTTCTCAAGTTGTGCTTTAGAAATATTTTGGAGAAAAAAAAGCATGACGGTGCATTAAGTGTCTGACCTATTTTAGCTCCTCTACAGGAGCAACTTTTCCAAGGTTATGAATGCTTGACAACTCCCTGGGGTCTTTTTTTTATTATCATTCGATACCATTACAAGTTGTCCTACTTTTCTTTTCCTCCATTCTTTTTTTTTAATCCAAGCAAAGTTTCCTTCTCTGCATCCCTATTATAGACCAAAAGATTTTCACCCACTGCCCTATTCATGCAACAAATTAATTCAATAAATGTTTGTTGAGCTCCTACTAATTACTGTGAACAAAACACATGGTCCATGGCATGGCTTAGCATGACACATTCACATATAATGCTCCTTACACTGAGCTTGCACACTTATGGGAACATATTATATATTGTAACCTAATCTAAAAATACAGTATTATTGTTGCTACAACTATTATTACTTATAATCTGGGAGTAAAAAAAAAAAAAAATACTAACCACAAAATAAAAGACTAGCAAAATGAGTTAACTTAAAATTTCTATTTATTAAAAGAAACAGTTCAGAGTTACAGACTTTCACCCACAGCCAACATCATACTCAATGGGCAAAAACTATGAGCATTTCCCTTAAGATCAGGAACAAGACAGGATGTATACTTTCACCACTCTTATTCAATATAAAACTGGAAGTCTTAGCCACAGCAATCAGACAAGAAGAAATAAAAAGGCATCCAAATTGGAAAGTAAGAAGTAAAACTGTCATTATTTGCAGATGATGTGATATTGTATATAGAGATCTCTAAAGATTATACCAAAAACTATTAGAACTCTTAAATGAGTTCAGTAAAGTAGCAGGATACAAAATAATAAAATCAGTTGCATTTTTATACACCAATAATGAACTATCAGAAAAGGAAACTAAAAAGAACAATCCCATTTATAACTGCTTCAAAAAGAATAAAATAGCCTGGCCAGTGTGATTCAGTGGTTGAGCATAGACCTATGAATCAGGACAAGGTTCAATTCCCAGATAAGGCACATAACAGGGTGTGCCTTATCTGGGAAACTAAGTCCCCAGTAGGGGGCGTGCAGGAGGCAACAATCAATGATTCTCACCACTGATGTTTCTATCTCTCCCTCTCCCTTCCTCTCTGAAATCAATAAAAATTTATTTTTTTTAAAGAAAGTAAAAAGCCAACCCACAAAATGGGAGAAAATATTTACAGACTACTAGTATATAACTGTCAAGGATCAAGTATGTAGAATATACAAAGAACTCATACAACTCAACAATAAAAACATGAATAACCCAATTTTAAAATAAGCAAAGGGTTTTGGATTATAGCTACCCAAAGAAGCTATAGAAATTATCAGAAGCATATTTTAAAATGTTCATCAGGAAAATATAAATCAAACCACAATTAATTGCTACTTCATATTTGATAGGATGGCTATCATTTAAAAAATGAAAAATAATAAGTGTTGGTGAGGATATGGAGAACTTGTTTATAGGAACGTGGTCAGACATTGCTTATAGGAAGCTAAAATGATGACACATGAAGGATCTTTGTGGTGATGGAAATATTGTGTATTGACTGTATCTATCAATATCCTGATTGTTATACTATACTATAATTTTGCAAACTGTTATTATTGGGAAAAATTGAGTAAAAAATATACATAATCTCTGTGTTATTTCTTATGGTTGTATATAAATTTACAATTATCTAAAAATAAAAAATTTAAATCAATTTTTAAAAGGAAAAAATGTTTACAACCGCATATAGGTTTGTTTTCTTTCCATATATCTGGCTACTTTCAATCATCCATTTGATTCAACCTCCTTACTCCAGCCATCTTCCTCTCAACAAATACCAACAACAACAACAACAACTATTGGGCATCTGTTATGTGACAAAGAATTTTATGTGCTAATTTTATGGCTAAGAACTTTTATGCATTAACTTATTTAATCCTCACAACAGATAACTTTGAATTCTACTTTTCACAGGAAACAGCAGCCTCAGACACCACTTTCTCAACTTCATTCTCAACCATCCATATATATACATTATTATTTTCACTGTATATATATGTATGTATTTCAGAGAGGAAAGGAGAGGGAGAGAAATAGAAACATCAATGATGAAAGAGAATCATTGATCAGCTGCCTCCTGCACGCCCCCTACTGGGGATCAAGCCCACAACTCGAGCATGTGCCCTTGACTGGAATTGAACCCAGGAGTCTCCAGTCCGCAGTCCCGGGCTCTATTCACTGAGCCAAATCAGCTAGGGCATCCATACACACCTCCTTTTTTCCTTTAACAATGAAAAGAAGGGCCCATTTTGCAGATTAAAGGCAATCCTTTCACTTAAGCACAGAATCTACTTCTCAGGTTCCTAACTTCATCCAATAACCTCTTTCTTATATTTTGAATCCCTGCCCTAACCTTACAAATCCATCAATAATTCTCACTCCCCTTTTCGTAGCCACATTTCTTAAAAACTTGTCCACATTTACTCTTTCTATTTCTGAACCTTTCGTTCAATTCAAAATCCACTACAAATTGATTTCTGCTCTACTCTATGAAAGCCTGACCTCTTGCCAGCATTTCACACTACTACCTATTTCTTTATTTAAACTCTCTTCTTTGGGCTTCTCTGACATCACTACCCCGTGAGAGTTGAGGTAAATGACACGGGTGACCTAAAAAGAGGGAAACGAAGTTATAATAGGACATGCTCGTGACCAAGGAGGCAAAGGTGAGGAGATCCCTGCTTTTTGAGAGGGAAGTTTGGGAGATTGAAGACAGAAAGGGCTACACTGGGCATTAAAACAAAGTGACCGTGACTTTCACCCTCTTTTCCCCTCTTTGTTCCCTACCCTTTGAGTGTAACAGGCAGGGCAGGGGAGAGGGGTGAACCCAGCTGGGGCGCTGCGAGAAGAGCACAAGTGGAGGTGGATGGAGACTGAGTCGCCAGCGGAACCCGGGAGCCGGGCCGCGGTTGCAGCTCGGAGGGAGCACGGGGACGGACGCGAGTGCGCTGGGTTAGCGGCGCTTCCGGCCCCAGCCCTGGCGCCAGCAGGCTCTTCAAATACCCAGCACGATGCGTGAAACCTGGGCTGGAGCCGCTGCTGGATCCTGAGATCGGCGCGGGACACCCTGGAGGCAGGCTGCTCAGAGGCTGGCGGAAGACTCTGCTCCCCGATAGCGCCGGGAGGAGACCCACACGGCCTGGTCCGGTGTGTCCTCACCGTCAGTGGTCCCCTGCCCGGCTCTTTAGCCAGCGGCGCTGATAAATGGGCGGGGGATGGGGGGAACGGGAAATTCAAATTAAACTAATTTCTCTGCAGATTCGGTGCGGTTAAAACCTGAGAATCCACACTTTAAAAAAAATGAAGAAATTAAGACTTAAAGAACTAGAGAGTCGCCTGCAACAAGTGGATGCATTCGAAAAGCCCAAGTTACTTCTAGAACAGTATCCCACCAGGCCGCACATTGCAGGTAGGGCGGCTGGTGACCACGTCTTTGCTTCGCGGGTAGGGTTATAGTCCTGTCTGTCTACTCCATAATGAAATGAGGACAGTTATTTACATACAAAGAACATCCAGAGGAAATCTGCTGAAAGATTACATATCACATTAGAGAAGACTTCCTTGACATCACAGCTAAAGACACCCCACACACAGACACACACGTTGTCATTTTACTGTTTGGGTTTTGCATACCCTTAATACTGTCAGACATCTTTTTAATGTGTTTGTTTCTCTCATTACACTATAAACACCTTAAGGGCAAAGAATTGGTCTTTTTCACACAGTTCCCAGTGCCTGAAGAGTTTCTGATACTAGTTAGGAACTCAATAAATATTTGTAAAATAGGGATCAATTTCTTTTTGCAAGGAATTGTCAGCACAGTTTCTATGCTATACTCTAACCTAGAAATGAATACTGGCTAGCTGAAGGGCTTTTAACAAATCCTCTTTAAATATGAAGATGCATTTCAATTTTAAAAATAATCTGAGTGAGAATCAGTAGTGTTGCTTGATCGGAGAGATTGATAACCAGTAATACAGGAGAGAATACAGGAAGAACCATTCATATTTAGTAAATGTATTATTAAAGGTCAATGGGGAGTCTTAAGGAGAATTAATTTGTTGACAACACCTGCGAGGAGGAAACTCATCCAGCTCCAACATAGTTCTGTTTCTAAGCTGCCAGTGAATGTTAAGGAACTTATCTCCAACATACTGTCATAATTTCAATCAAATATTAAGACCAGTTTACTAAATTTAGATAATGACTTATTTAATATCTTAGGTTATAGGGTTTCTAAGTGGAATTCAGCTTTTTAAAAGACCAGTTGTACATGCACATGGGATGTGCAAATTCTTTACCAGCTTCAAAGTCGCTGACACCTGCAGCTATAATCAGCACAGCACAGTCAGCCTATGTCCCATAAATGTATTTTTTAAATATATTTTATTAATTTTTTACAGAGAGGAAGAGAGAGGAATAGAGTTAGAAACATTGATGAGAAAGAATCATCCATCAGCTGCCTCTTGCACACCCCCTACTGGGGATGTGCCCACAACCAAGGTATATGCCCTTGACCAGAATCGAACCTGGGACCTTTCAGTCCACAGGCTGACGCTCTATCCACTGAGCCAAACTGGTTTCGGCCCATAAGTGTATTTTTTATATAAAACTATTGGATCCTGGGGCAGCAGTGATGGCCAGTAATCCTTGTAGGGTTCATATATCCAAAGGGAGATATAAGTGATCTTACTTATGAGTTACCTTCAGCATAGACCAGACTTTTGTGTACTTGAAATATCCCTTTCCAATCTCAGTAGCTTCTGCTCTACAACTCAATAGTTCTATCATGTCTTATTAGTGGATTATGAATATATGTCTGTAGATCGTAAATATGTGTCTGAATATGTGAATCTAAAAGCTATATTGTGGGTTTAGTTTTTCCTTTCCCATTCTAGTTTAAGCTTATGGTACCTGGTGACAAATTTATCGCAAAAAAGTTATGTGCCTTTTTTTTTTTTTTTTTTTTTAAATATATTTTATTGATTTTGTACAGAGAAGAAGAGAGAGAGACAGTTAGAAACATCAATGAGAGTCATCGATCAGCTGCCTCTTGCACACCCCCTACTGGGGATATGCCCGCAACCAAGGTACATGCACTTGACCGGAATCGAACCCGGGACCCTTCAGTCCCCAAGCCGACGCTCTATCCATTGAGCCAAACCAGTCTCGGCGTAAAGTTATGTGCCTTTTTAATGTTAATGCTGTGGTTCCTGGACTTACAGATTTCAAAAATTAGTAAAATTTCAAAATAATTTTGGACATCGATATAGGGTTGCCAAATTTATATATTAACAAGGAAAGATATTTTTAAAACTTATTCTTCCCATCCTTTCATAAAAATATTTAAACATCAAAGATAACTGACATATGTGTGTGGATGGCAATATTTTGAACAGTTCTCATTTACCTCAAAGTTTTGTCATTCTTGGCATTGTCAGCAGAGACTAGTTTTGGGGAACCAGTAGTATGGGTTTTTTTGTTTTTTGTAGGACCTTGTATTACATACCAAGTTATATGCCTTTGACTGGGGTACCATTTTGGGGAGGACTAGATAATGAAAGATAAGTTGTTTTAACAAGTCATTTGCACAATTTGGATTTTGGTCATCAACTTGCTTCTTCTCTAATATGTTTTTTGATCTTTTAGCATGTATGCTCTATACAATTCATAATACATATGATGACATTGAAAATAAAGTGGTTGCAGATCTAGGATGTGGTTGTGGAGTACTCAGCATCGGAACTGCAATGTTAGGAGCAGGGTAGGTCCAGTATATATTATTTGGTATGGGGTGGCTTTAATAAGTATGAAGTGAGGGGATTGAGAATCTGATAATGAGCTCATTTTCAATGAGCAGAACAAACAAAAAAAAAACTAACAAAACAGTAACACCAGCAGGCAGATGTCTCCCTTGTATACAAACCCTGCCAGATTGGGAAATCATGCTGTTGAAAGGTAACATTCACTCTTTGCCAGTTGAGTTAAAAAGGTTATGGTTTTTATTGTTACTGTTTTAACTTGGAAGCCAAAAATAGTCGGTCTTTGTCTATGTTTTGTATTTACAGATTGTGTGTTGGATTTGACATAGATGAAGATGCATTGGAAATATTTAATAAGAATGTGGAAGAGTTCGAGTTAACAAATGTTGACATGGTTCAATGTGATGTGTGCTCATTATCTAACAGAATGTCCAAGTCGTTTGATACAGTAATTATGAATCCTCCCTTTGGAACCAAAAATAATAAAGGTTAGTAGCAAAACTCAGGTATATTGGTTTTAAAAACCAATTGCTCATTAACTGTTCAGGTTAAGTGATTTTTATCACTCTACAGTAAATACACCAATCTCTTATTTATAGTTATTACAATTACAATTTGTTTAATGCATGGATAGGGTATTGAATTTTTCAATCTTTGTTTTCACAAATTTGTATTAAATGAAAAAAGTATTTTTTACTCCATCTGGTATCAATAATGATTTACCTGCCCTTTGTGAATGATTACGAATCCTATTAAGTATTTTATACTTTTAGAACCTCCTTTTTTTTTTCTTTTTTTTTCTTTTTTTAAATCCTGGGGGATATTTTCCCCATTTATTTTAGAGAGAATGGAAGGGATGGGGGAGAAAGATCAATGTGAGACTCATATCAAATGGTTGTCTCTCCCACGCACACCAGTCTGGGTGGGAAACCTGCAACCTTGAGATATGCCCTTGACTGGAATAGAATTCAAGATTCTTCTATTCTTGGGCCAATACTCTAACCATTATACCATGCCAGCCAAGGCTAGAACTTCTTCCTTTTGTTTGTTTTAGTATATATTTTTATTTATTTCAGAGAGGAATGGAGAGGAGAGAGAAACATCAATGATGAGAAAGAATCAGTGATCAGGTGCCTCCTGCACACCCTACTGGGGAGCGAACCTGCAACCTGGGCACATGCCCTTAACCAAATCAAACCCGGGACCTTTCAGTCCGCAGGCAGATGCTCTACCCACTGAGCCAAACCAGTTAGGGCTAGAACCTCTTTTTAATACCCTAACACACCCAAGGATTTCATCATGTGTTCATCAGTAACAGTGACTCCCTGTGGCTTTGTGTGAATGCTGTGTGCAAGGAGGATAGGAAATCAGTAAGAGGAAAAGACATGCATAGTTTTAAAAAGTCCTCCTTGCATCCTCCACCCCCATGTGATTCTAATTACTACTCTATTCCTTTCTCCCATCTTTGAAAGTTTTTGGAATATGATACTGATTTTTTTCCTTTATCCTTATTCAAATACATTATAGTTCTGGTTTTATTCTATCAACTTATATTTGGATATTTTGCTTATTTGTATCCTTTTTGCAGAATTTGAAGTGGCTATTTTAATATTTATTACTACCTGGTATTCACTTAATCTTCTATTTTGATAACAGGTATATAATTTAAATTGGAGCTTTTTCTACTGTTAACAGGAACAGATATGGCATTTCTAAAGACTGCTTTGGAAATGGCAAGAACAGCAGTATATTCTTTACACAAATCCTCAACAAGAGAAGTAAGTTCAAGTCATCATGACATTGTCATTTATTTTTGAAATCATGAATGTTGTAAGGATTTGCTGTGAAATTTATTTACTGGTAAATAAATCTAAATACTAGACAAAACCTGGGCATGTGCTCCAACTGGGAATTGAACTGTGACCTCCTGGTCCATAAGTCGATGCTCAGCCACTGACCAACACTGGCCAAGCAAGTCTATATTCTTATACAGAAATTCTAGATCTCAAAAAATGGGAAAATATACCCAAACTAGGAATATTTCTTAAATTCAAGAAAAAACTACAAAAACACAGTGTCAGTATTGTTTAAAATTTAGGGAAATTAAATAGTTTATCAACCAGCTTAATCATACTATCATCATGAATAAAATGCCTATACAAAATGTTAATAGCTCTAGATTTCTAGCAAATTATGCACATAATTTATTTAGGGGATTATGGGCAACTTTTTTTCCATTTATGTTGAAATGTGTATATTGTTTTTAAAAATTCATAAAGCAATTTTTATAACAAATTAACCAAAAATTTTATGTAGTTCAAGACCTAAAAGTGGTTAATGTTTAGTACTTACTGTGTGCCAAGACAGTTCAGAGCACTTTTTATATTCCTCAACAATCGGATGAGAGATACCATTATTATCCTCATTTAACAGATGAAGAAACTGAGGCACAAAAACAATGAGTAGCTCAGGGTTACAAAGCTGATAAGTAGCAGAGCAGCAGTTCAGATACAGGCTGTATGTTTTCAGAGACCATGTTCTTAACTAATATCCCATACTGCCACTGACCATGTCATAGATCTCTGTTGGTTTCCAGGATAGTTATATATATATATTGATGAAATAATGCTGTAGAAACCATGGTTACGTTGTACACTTTGATGTATTTCTGAAATAATAGCTTTGTGACTTGGATTTTATTTAAATACTAGTGGCTAGTTGCAGGAAAATTCCTGCAATAGGGCTTCCTGCTGCAATCGCTGCCCCGCCTGCTTCCCTCTCTTCTCTCTGCCCTACCTGCTTCCCTCCCTTCTCCCTGCTGGCCTGCTTCCCTTCCTTCTCTGTGCTTGGCTTCTATGCTGTCTTCAGTCTTCACTCTGGTCTGGATATGCAAGTTAACCATCTTGGTTGGGTTAATTTGCATACTTGTTCTGATTGGCTGGTGGGCAGGGCTAGTGGGTGATGCAAAGGTGCTGTCAATTTGCATGTTTCTCTTTTATTAGGTAGGATGTAATTTGGCTCAGATGGTTAAATATATTGAAATGGCTTGGTTTATTTTCTAATGTGATCCATTCAGTTGAAAAAAAACTTAAGGATCTAAATTCTAATGAAGTTTTAAAAACTTGAATTTTTTGAAAACTACACCAAGTATTAGTAAAAAGCAATTTAAAAGTATTTACAAATCAGTTCACATTAACATATTATTATGTTCAGCATATTCAAAAGAAAGCTGCAGAATGGAAAATCAAGATAGACATCATTGCAGGTAAGACAGTTTTTAAGTTTCTCATAAAACAAATCTAAATTCTATCTAAGAAAGCCAAGATGCATTAAAGCCAAATTGGAATATTTATACAGGTGCTGAGAAAATACTGTAAATCACATTTTTGTGTTGCAAACAGATAGCAAATGGAGTAAAGGCAGGGTATCTATGTTTGTCTAAGACTGTCCCAATCTATGTATTGAATTTTACTGAAAACTTCTATTAGTGCCAAAATATTTGGTCACTCCAGGCTCAGACCCTTTATAGCTTCATAGTGACTGAAAAGCTTGGGTTGAGTTGGTCAGAACTCAGTTTGAAATCCATTCATAGGAAATATCAGATTATGCCTATATCACACACACACACACATATATTTTTAAACTATTGCTGCCCTTTTTAAAAAAATGTTTTTGTAGAAACATCAATGATGAGAGAGAATCATTAATTGGCTGCCTTCTGCGCACACACACACCCCCCCCCTACTGGAGACTGAGCCTGCAATCCAGGCATGTGTCCTTGCCTGGAATCGAACCCAGGACCCTTCAATCCACAGGCCAAAACAGCTAGGGCTGGATCACCTGTCTTTCAATTTCCTAATTGCCCCTGAAGTCAAATAACATTAAGCTTTTTTTTAGTAGGGGATAGAATATAATCATCCACACTGAGTAAATCATGCTTGGTACATTTTTATTAGTAAACTGAATATTAACAAACATTAAAACAGGGAAAGCATACAACTAGAAGCTAACTGTAATCCAAATAATCTTGAAAAGTCTGAAATAAGAGTACAATAAGGGGAAATGTTTTTACACGATAATAAACTATGAACTAGCACGGTGGTGGTAACCATATAACTAGATCTATTACTGTCCTTAATATAATGTGTAAAAGGTCAGTCTTTCTATTATATTCAGTATTGTCATTCCTTACATAGTTTAAGTTATTAGAATATGCAACATGGAACACCTCAGAACAATTCCAGTATACTACCAAACCAGAGCCTTGCTACTCCAAATGTAGTTTTAGGTCATCACCATTGGCATCCCTTGGGAGCTTGTTAGATTTGCAAAATTCCAGGCTCCACTCATATCTACTGAATTATAATTTGCACTTCAATGCACATTAAGATTTGGGAGCTGTGACCCAGTTAGAATTTATGTTGTAAAATATGAAGGGCTAGGTAGACTCATTGCCATCACTCTAAAATGGATCAGTAACAGGTTTGGAGGACCTACATTATACTCTAGAAAGGAAGAATATGAAAAAATTTGTTTTCATTTAAGAGCATAGTTGGAAAATACATGGCTACTTACTACCATTACTAAAATCCAGACAAAATTTTAAAATAACCATACTTATGAGATTGCTAGCTATTGATTAGAAAACTAAAAATAGGAAGGTACTATCATTTTCATAGGATATACTTTTGTCCACTTAAAATGCTTCTAAACTCTTCCCTATTAACCTCAAATTTTGGTATAAATTACCAAAATAGCAAAAATGCCAAACTCAACTTGCCATGGGTAACCTTGGGGATATATCATGGCAGTCCTTGGATACCAAGTTAAAGTGACAGGTCTAAAATCTTCAGTTTACCAACATTTAGTGCTTTCTTAATTCATGGGGTTTTTTTAGACAAGGGTGGTAAATGCTTAGAAATATAGTTTTCTTCCTTAGGTGACCTTTTTTTTGTGTTTCTTTTATTAATAGAGCTGAGATATGACCTGCCAGCATCATACAAATTTCATAAAAAGAAATCAGTAAGTCTCTTGAACTTTACAGTAAGTAATTCTTATATTATCAAGTTGCCTGAGTAAATACAAGAAAGCCAGCCTGGGAGACAGATTATGGAATAGCCTATAATCAACAGCCAATATTCTGGTTTAAGATAAATTATTTCTCAAATACTTTGGGCAAAAGAAAAGAAAAAATAAACTTAAGTTTTTGCTCTTTTTATATAGTATATATTTTATTCATTTGTACTAATACATTCTCATATTACAAAGGCAATTTAGTACAAGAATCTTTCTTTTGATATTTGAATTATCTGAATAACATATAACTGTACATTAAAAAAAATCCTCATTTGAATAACAAAAAAGACAAGCTAAACAATAAAAAATTTTTCTTTCTTGCAGGTAGACATTGAAGTGGACCTAATCCGATTTTCTTTTTAAAAGCATCCAAAGACAAACACAGCTGAAAACCTAATTAAAATGAATACAAAATTTGTTTACTAAACTACTGGTCTCCGGCACCATTTTCTGTTTTCTGCTGTTTTGATGCAGGTTCTTCTTTGTCTGTTTCTTCTCTTGCTCTTTTTACTGGTCCTATACAATAACAATTAATTTTTGTTAAGTTCATTTTAAGGATTACTCTCTTTTAGAAAGGAGCATAATTACCAATGAGAAAGGCTTTTCTTATAGAACACACCTTCTACTCTCTAACCTTAATTTCCAAACATCCTTATTATCCAATTGTAAAAACAGCACAACCAGGGTAAATTGCAATCCAACAATGCCACTCCGACAGAAACTGAATAACCACATCACTATTCTCTCACACAAATAATTTCTCATGTAAGTACCAAATGACTTAGAAAAACTTACCAGATGCATCATTTTCATCATGTTCACCATCACTATCAAATTTAGTTTTCTTGCCCTGGAACTGTACTTTTCCTTTAGCAGACCCAGTCTGGGCAACTTTATTTCCCTTTCCTTTTCCTTTAAATCTTCGACCTAAAGTGACAATTGAAAAATCAATAAAGAAATGTTTTAAATATATTGTCACTGTCTTTGAACACCTATTATATTTTTTACTCAAGCAAATGAGTAAATGTCCAAACTCAGAAAAAAATAAGAATTAATAACCTTTTGACTTCCATTTGTTTAGGGATTCTTGTTGGTCATCCATGATTTTTTTCAATGCTTCTTTTTCCACATCTCCTTCTAGTACTTCCCATGTCACGTCTTTGTTCCTTAATTGAAGGTTACCATTATTTGCATCTTTGGCTTTATCCAGTGCTTCCTTAGCTTTTTCTTTAAATAGAATTATTCCCTACACCAAAGACAAAAAACCACACCCTTAAGTTTTGAGTCTCACAGTTAATACCTTTAAAGTAATTTTTCCTAGCCTGCAAAATCTTCCGTGCCATTACCAGTTTCAATGAATTTCAGTGAACATCAGGAAGGAAGATACTACAAAACTTGCAGTCACTGATACAGCCATTTACAGCATAACAGAAAATATCAGATATCACCTGGCCAATATGGCTCAGTGGTTGAGAGTAGACTCATGCACCAGATCACTGATTCAATTCCCAGTCAGGGCACTTGCCCAGGTTGCAGGCTCCATTCCCAGTAAGGGGCGTGCAGGAGGCAGCCTCTCAATATTTCTCTCTCTCTTTCCCCATTCACCTTTCTTTAAAAAATCAATAAAAATACATTTTTTTTAAAAAAAATACAGATATCACATGGAGTCAAAGCAATAACAAAATGGACAATTAAACTATTTGCATAAATAATGAAAATTTGCTTTCTACTAATTATTTCATCTAAAAGATAAATTTCTGTGGATTTTTCAACATTGGCATAAAGCATATGAATGAATGTTTCCAAACCTCTTTTGCTCCTCTGACAAAGTCTATCCATTTTATTTCACCATGATTTGAGAAAAGGATGTGCAAATCTTCTCTACAGGTCTGATCATCTAGGTCCCCTGAAAATTTCAACAAGCAGCCAATCTTTTCTTCTAGAGATTTCTATAAAAACATACAAGGCAATAAAAGTTTAATAAAAGCAACCACAAATCAGAAATAGCTTACACCACTCTATACCTATACAAGAAAAAGACTAGAAACTAAAATGCTATTTTTAAGTACTTTAATAGTTGGTACATTTCATCCTTTGTTCTACAATGGCTTTTAACTATTTTCTCCAAGTAAAATTTAATTAGTTATATGTTTTAATTATATAAGTCTGTTTATTAAATCACTTCTGAATAAATAATAATTTTAGCCAATAGTACTTGGCTATTACTTTAATGTAATGATAACTACAGACTTGCTTACATATTTTCTGGAAAGTCTTCAGATCTTTTATTCTCATAACTTCAAATTCTTAGAAATCAATAACATATACTTACTAATTCAGCACTTTCTGCTAACTTTCGTTTTTCTTCTTGCTCTCTACAAATAAAAATAGAATTTTCCATTTACTATGTGAGAAAATTAAATCACTGTAAAAATAACTTTGATCATAATCACTAAACTTAACCAAAGCCAGTCCTTAGAATTTCTGATTGTCCAATACTAGCACATACAATGTGGCCTTCAGATTATTAAGGCAGTTTAAGATCCCAATGTTTCATGAGTAAAAGGTTACCGTATTTTCTGGCGTATAAGACAACCGGGCATATAAGACGACCCCCTAATTTTACAGTTAAAACATAGGTTTATGCCTATATTCGCTGTATAAGACTACCCCCCATTTCCGAGGCAACACCAGTTCTTTTTTTAATTAAATTTTTAAAGGTTCAAAGGTTATAATAGACCGCCTCTCTGACTCTGGCCAATCTGAGCAGGCTTTTTACTATAATAGAACACAGTGTACATGTTCTGTACCCGAAGCTACACTGTTCTAGTAAAAAGCCTGGCCAGAGTCAGAGAGGCGGTCTATTAAAAAAAGAGCTGGTGTTGCCTCGGAAGTGGGGGGTAGTCTTATACAGCGAATATAGGCCTAAACCTATGTTCTTAACTGTAAAATTAGGGGGTCGTCTTATACGCTGGAAAATACATAAGTAAGCCTATAGCTACTCATTTCAAAGATCATCATCAGCCCCATTTCTGAGAACCACTATCTGCCTTGGTAAAGATTTAAGGAATTAAAATGTTCCATTAGCTCTATTTACTTACTTTTTAGCTCGTAATTTAGCTTCCACTTTATTTTGCTTTCTTTCTTCATTTTTCTTTGCAAAGTAATCTTCCCTAAAGGAAACAAAATATAGAGGCTAAATTCATGAGAACAAAGATTTCAAATTATTTTGAATTATTTAAGACATGGTATAAAAAAATGTTGATTTTTTTTCTATCAACATAATTACCTAAAAATTCAAAAGATATCAAGGAAGTTACTCTTGTTTTTAAATAATAGATTTGCTAAGAAGTAATTCACATGCCATAAAACTCAGTTTTAAAGTGTATAATTCAATGCCTTTTAATGTATTCAGATTGTACAACCATCACTATTATCTAATTTTAAAACATTTTCATGACCCCAAAAAAGAAATTCCATATCCATTAACCATCTCCTATTGGTTTTCATTTATCATTCATGTATTTTTTACTTATTTTTTTAAGTATATTTTTTATTGATTTCAGACAGGAAGGGAGAGATAGAAACATCAATGATGAGAGAGAATCATCAATTGGCTGCCTCCGATACACCCCACACTGGGGACGGAGCCGGCAAACCAGGCATGTGCCCCTGACTGGAATCAAACCCCAGGACCTTTCAGAACGCAGGCTGACACTATTTACTGAGCAAAACCCTACCTCAGGGTAGAGCTCATTCATGTGTTTTGTTTTGTTTTGTGTTTTTTTTTTTTAAAGTAAACTACCAGTTATGTAAGTTTCAGAGTTTTCTAGTGTTTGTTTCACAAAAGGAGAAAATTCTAAAATCCCTTCCTGAGACCCAAGAATAAAAACAATTATAGAAATCACATTAAAAACATTTCCTCAACTGAAACTGGTTTGGCTCAATGGATAGAGCGTCAGTCTGCAGACTGAAAGGTCCCGGGTTCGATTCCGGTCAAGGGCATGTACATTGATTGCGAGCACATCCCCGGTGGTGGGGGGTGTGCAGGAGGCAGCTGGTCGATGATTCTCATTGATGTTTCTAGCTCTCTATCCCTCTCCCTTTTTCTCTGTAAAAAATCAACAAAAATATATTAAAAAAAAGACATATCCTCAGCCTCCTAATTATAGATACTTCTATCAATCTGCCTCCCAGTGTTTATGAGAGTTTAAATTGACAATACTGTTCAAAACTGAAGACTATTAGGTATCAGTTCTTTTTTCTGCTCACTGTGATATTACAGAGAAATTATTCTTCATTACTGCTCAGCAAAATCATCGTATATGCTTAAACATCACTTGTATTATTTTATTTCTTCCAGTTTCCTTGCATTATAGTCGATGGTTTTTAAGAGCTTGTTTATGACTAAAGATGTTAACCATTTCTCATGCATTGCAAATACCATGTTTTTTGTTATTATTTTACTCTGGTGGGGTGTTTTTTTTTTTGTATCAAATTTGTGTATTAAATATAATCATGTTCTCTTTAAAAACAAACAAACATATCCTTGGGTGAAGACTAAAAAAGAAAAAACACTTTTGAGAGTGTAACACTGAGCATGATTATCACAATGCATCTCTAAATCCGGTTTAGTACACAGCACTATTTACAATATTTACAATACTATGTTGTAGAGAGCACCTGGGATTGGTGGCTGAGTCCAGTGGCATCAGCAGAGCCACCTCCTGGAAACATACCTTGCCAGAGGCAGGTATGTTGTCAGCCTAACCTTTAGCTCAGGTGCCAGGGGGTGGGTTTCATATCTAAGTTCAGCTAGGTGCCAGAACAGACACAATTATCAGGGTTCAGCCAGGAGTGACAATTACAAAGAAGCCATAAGAATGAAGAATTGCAGCTTGATCCTTAACCATGATTTCACATAATTTCCTGTGTATTAAACTGTAGTAAAACTTCCCAGTATCAGAGTTGCAAATCAAAACAACAATGCAGTACCATCTCACATCTGTCAGAATGGCCAACATCTACAAATCAACAAACAACAAACAAGTGTTGGCGAGGTTGTGGAGAAAAAGGAACCCTCGTGCACTGCTGGTGGGAATGCAGACTGGTGCAACCACTATGGAGAACAGTGTGGAGTTTCCTCAAAAAACTGAAAATGGAACTCCCATTTGACCCAGTAATCCCACTCCTAAGAATATATCCCAAGAAACTAGAAACACTAATCAGAAACGATATATGCACCCCTATGTTCATAGCAGCACAATCTACAATAGCTAGAATCTGGAAACAGCCTAGGTGCCCGTCAGCAGATGATTGGATCCAAAAACCTATGGTACATCTACACAATGGAATACTATGCTGCCACAAAAAAGAAGGAATTCTCATCATTTGCAGCAACCTGGATAGAACTAGAGAACATCATGCTGAGTGAAATAAGCCAGTCAATGAAAGAGAAATACCACATGACCTCACTCATTTATGGATATTAAAGAACATTATAAACTGACGAACCAAAAGGCAGATATAAAGACGGTAAAGCAACAAGCAGACTGTCAAATTACAGCAGGGAGGGTAGGGAGATCTGGGGGAGATAAGAGAAAAACTGAAGGTCTTGTATACATGCATATAAGTACAACCAATGGACACAAAACTCTAGGGAGGGAAGGTATGTATGGGGAGGGGCAATGTTAAAAATATGTACACAGATGATAATAATAAATTTTAAAAAAGACCAAAAAAACAAAAAACAAACAAACAAAAAAACTTCCCAGTATCATGCTGTATATAATAAACACGCTGCACCAGCTCTGGGTCACTATCTCCATCAGAGGGCAGTGTCTCACCTGGTCCCAGCTTACCCTAGTGTCCATGTCTCTATCTTTCTTTTTCTCAATACCCCCTCACCCCTACTCGGGACTCATCCACTTTTTAGCTGTGCTGGCAGCGATAAGGAGAGAAAACTTATACTACTATGTAATGCAAAAGTAGGAGACTATGGTCCTCCATCTAACTTTATCATGCAAATGCTCTGGTTTGCCCAAGTTTTTAGACACATTGAAAAGTGTGATCCAAATCTCTATTACATAATCCTTTGTACTATATGAAATACAGGCATAGCCGGGACTGGTTTGGCTCAGTGGATAGAGCTTCGGCCTGCGGACTGAAGGGTCCCGGGTTCGATTCCGGGCAGGGGCATGTACCTTGGTTGCGGGCACATCCCCAGTAGGGGGTGTGCAGGAGGCAGCTGGTTGATGTTCCTCTCTCATCGATGTTTCTAGCTCTCTATCCCTCTCCCTTCCTCTCTGTAAAAAATCAATAAAATATATATATTTTAAAAATAAATAAAATAAAATATAGGTATATAGACTATATTTATATAGTCTATATACTATATAAATATAGTCTATATACTATATCATATATAGACTATGAGAACACATAAAAATTTTAGTGATTTATTCTCTAACACCAAAAGCCAAAATTTTAGTATCCAGCCTGATTATGAATTTTAGGTGCAAAATAAGTCCTAAAACTTAGCCTCATTTACTAATTGCTAACAGAGAAAAGATATTAATAAACTTTTCTATATATTCTCAAAGGATTGTTTCCACTAACCAAATTTCAAGCATTTCTCAAAGAACCCAATGGATACCAAAACTACTGGGTTTACAGAGGATATTATTCCATATTCCTTACCCTAGTGTGAAAATTCAAAATAACTAAGTGGCCAGAAAAAGCATCAGGAAAAAGACTTACTTGAAAAGTATTAACAGATCTGTGTCTTTGTATTTTTGTCCAGGGGTCTCCACAAACTTTTTAGCAGATTCAATGCTATCAAACACAGCAAATATTGATCCCTTTTAAAAGGGGGAGAAAGATTTTTTTAGTTATATCCCATATATTTTTCAACTAGAAAAAGTCTGTTACATCATACAACCATACCTTAAATGCTTTATGCAATGTTCTTCTCATCTGAATATTTAGTACTTGACCTTTATCTTCTAACCATTCTTTTATGTCATCAAGGGTTGCATCAGTAGGAAAGCCTTTCTGTGAGTAGCAAGAAATGTACAAATGACTTCTTAGATAAACAATTAGCCAGAAATTCTGAATCCTTTTGTCTTGAAATGAAGCCAGGACATCCATCCATCCCTCCCTCTCTCAAATGTTTTGACAGCTCTGGTTCAGAGCTATTGCTATCCAGTACAATAAGACTCTTTTATCTAGGATTCAATTCAAAATAATCCAGCTGCTGTAGAAAAAATAATCCAGTTAGAACAGGGATAAGATTCATCAGGTGTTAACTGTTACAATTAGATAATTGTACATTATATATACAATCTACTTTTGTATGTCTGAAATTTTCCAGAATAAAAAATACTTAAAAATTAATATTCTAAAAAAAATTGCTATCGAGTTTAGCTGATGACAAATAAGAACAGGTGATATGCACTGGGTGTTTATATGGTAAATATTGTACCCAATGGTATATGGATTTTTCATTTGATTCTCTAACACTTCTGAAAGGCAAAAATATTATCATTTATAAAGATAAGGCTTAAAGAAATTAAGAACATATAGTAAGTGATGAGGGACATATAATTAGTGAAGCTATGATTGCTGAGCCCTTGTTCTCACCAACTCTACCATCCATTTTTTCTAAACAAATAAGTTATAATTAAGTGCATTAAAGGCTCACTTACAATATAAACAGATCTGTTTTTTACATCATTTTTATACTCATCAGTCACTTCAGGGAGGGGTTTGTTTGGAGATCTTCTGATTTTGGTTTTATCTTCACTTATTTCCATGAGTTCTGCCTTTGATTTGCTCAATGCTTCTACTATTACATTAAAGTCTGTTGTTAGACGGTTTAACCTGAAGAATATGTATAAAAACATTGTAAGACTTAGTACTAGCACTTGTTAACAGAAAATCTAAAGATGGTTTTTAAAAGGTTTTTACCTATTAAATTTTATCATTATTTCCAAAGGTACCCAGCCTTCATCCAGTTTGATTTGTTCCTTTAAAAATTTGTCCCGTGGCAAATTGAAATCACCAAAATAATACTGCAAGATAATTACAATATATTTCAGATCATTGTATAATATTGACTCCAACTCTGGAAGGTTTTTATTTAAATTACTATCACATCACTAAGTTATATTCTTTAAAAATACATGTCATGCTCTGGCCAGTATTGTTCGTTTGGTTGCACGTCATCCCATGCACCAAAAGGTCGCCAGTTCTATTCCTAGTCAGGGCACATGCCTGGGTTTCAGGCTTGACCGCCAGTGCGGGGTGTGCAGGAGGCAGCCAATCAATGTTTCTCTTTCTCTTTCTCTCTCCCCTCCTCATTTCTTTTCTCTCTAAAATCAATAAAAACTTATTTTAAAAAACACATGTCAGAACTTAAGTAGCAATAAATATTTCCTCCTAAAGATACCATATTTATAATACAAATTTAACAAAAAGATAAAACTAAAAGTCAATTAAACAATGCAATTAACAGATATGTCAACAAAAAATAAAAATATATCTAAGGATTTAATAAATAAGAAAAATCTCTTGCTTCAAATCAGTGTGGAAAAAATAAATTTAAAACCTGGAATAAACTGGTTAATCACTCCAATTTTTAAAAGTTAAAAGTGTAGCCAAAACCGGTTTGGCTCAGTGGTAGAACGTTGGTCTGCTGACTGAAAGGTCCCAGGTTCGATTCCGGTCAAGGGATGTACATTGGTTGTGGGCACATCCCCGGTGGGGGGTTGCAGGAGGCAGCTGGTTGATGTTTCTCTCTCATCGACATTTCTAGCTCGCTCTCTCTCTCTCCTCCTCTCTGAAAAAAGGTCAATAAAATATATATTTTTCTAAAAAGTTAAAAGTGTATATCTAATTTAAGCATAGATTCACCCTTTCTTAGTATAAAAACAAGGAAAAACTATACATGAAAAACTATACAAGTGTGACTGCTTAGAATGACAAAAATAAGACAAACACAGAAGTCTATTAATTCTTAGGACTCAAGGGGAAAGAAAAAAAAACTCCAGAAAACTCTGATAGGAAAAAGAATAAAGGACATTTTTTTAAAAATCACTAAAACTATACATGTACTATAAGCATAAGTTCAATTCATTATTAATTCAAAGAAATATAAATTAATGAAATAGAATTTTTCACCTGACAAATTGGCTGAAATTCTAAAAAGAAGTATACGTAGTATTGGTCTGAATACAAAGAAATGGTCATGCAGGCAGATGTAAATTGGCCTTAATTATTGAAAGTTTTTTAAAAATGTGTATAACCTGCCAAAACCGGTTTGGCTCAGTGGATAGAGTATCGGCCTGCAGACTAAAGGGTCCCAGGTTAGATTCTGGAAAAAGGGCATGTACCTTGGTTGCGGGCACAAACCCAGTAGGGGGTGTGTAGGAAGCAGCTAATAGATGTTTCTCTCTCATTGATGTTTCTAACTATCCCTCTCTCTTCCTCTCTATAAAAAAATCATATATATTTTTTAAAATGTGCATAATCCTTTTAAATCAGTAAACATGTTTATTAATTTATAAAGATATGATAAAACTGTTATAGCTAAAATATTGGAAATACCCTCCATATCAAATAGGGAATTGGGTATATTGCATCCCATGTTTGGTGGAAGAAAGGGAAGGAAATAAAAACTATGTTAGTGTCAGCACTGACCAAAGTGTAAAAGTGTAAAAGGTACTATTATCCTCACTTCATAGACTAGGAAACTACAGAAAAATTAAGTAACATTAGTCTACAATGTTATCTTTTGAAATGTCTGCAGTCTTTGGGTTTCATAAACTGGCTCCACCAATATAAACAGGTGTACTATTTTATGTACAACTAATTCCAAGAATCAAAGACAAGCCAAATATTGAATTATGGGTCAATATGTCACCAAAATTAAATGTTATTTCTGTATTTGTTATGAGGCCCTAAATTTCCTTTTGAAGAGCTTGTTTTCACAGTTGAATAGTACAAGGATCATACCTCAATTTGATGACAGATTTTGGCCTCCAGGGCAGCCATTTTTTCATCACCATTTTCAGCCATTGTGGCTACCTGTAAATTTTTTCAAATTGGAATTATTGCTTATTTCTTAGCATAAAACTCAAGATCAGAAAAAGAATGTTTTAAAATTATCAATATCCCATTGTTTTCTTTTAAAAGAAACTAATAATTTTTAGTTTCTCTACTCAATTCTCAAATTTCAAAAACTGAAAACTTTGGAATAAGCGATGGAAAAGTGAAAAGGTGCACACCCCTTTCAATAAATCACTGCTCCCTCTTCTATAACAAAGCAAGTGGTTATCTTCTTTATGGATCTCAGCCCCACTCGTTTGGTGTGGGTCAAATTTCTTTTAAAACTAGTCACAGTTGATTAAAACCTTTATCAGCCAAGATTAAGTATCATAACTTTGGGGGGGGGGGGGGGGATTCACATATTTCTGCCAGGGTCCAATCAGATGCTGTACAATAAGAAGCATATGAGCCGGAACTGGTTTGGCCTGCAGACTGATAGAGCGTCGGCCGGCAGACTAAAAGGTCCTGGGTTCTATTCTGGCCAAGGGCATGTACCTGGGTGGTGGGCACATCCCCAGTAGGTTTGCAGGAGGCAGCTGATCGATGCTTCTCTCTCATCGATGTTTCTAACTCTCTATCCCTCTCCTTTTCTCTCTGTAAAAAAATCAATAGAATATATATATATTTTTAAAAAGAAGCATATGAAATGACAACTTGAAAGCCTGCAGACACTGAAACAAGGATACGCTGGGATACAGTATGCCTACTCACTCCCTAATGTATTTACTGGCTAACCAGTATCCTGCTCAAGGAGTGCAGGAAGGAGGAGGCTGTGAGGTTGGTTTGCGAGGGACACAAAACCACGTCTCCTCACTCCAACTGACCTGCCTCCAGAGCTCTATGAAACCATCCAGGCACCCACATCGCACACAGGAGTCTGTCTCATCAGGAGTGTCTGCCATTCGCTGCCTCCCTCGCTGGCACTCCTCGGAGGCCTCGGGCAGACACGGTAATGACTACACAATAAACCGAGTGGGTGCGCGCTGGGAGCTCTGGCCATAGGGATTTTTATATGGTGCACATCCCACTGCCAACTCTGCTCAGCCTAGACCCTGGACTGCCGACCACCATCTCCATTCCTAAGTTATCACCACGATGTAGGGCCCCTTGGAAAACAAAGGGGGAGATAAAGGACTATTTTTTTAAGTCCTTACAAGCCGCCTCAGCTTACCCAATTTTAGAACTTCGCTTCATCCTTAGTCTTACCCAGAAATGTAAAACTAAGATGTGAGATATGAGCCACAGTTAACATTTCGCACAGAAGCCTGAATGTGAGTGAATGGAGGAAACCCTAGAAAGCCGAGTTTCTCCAGGGGAACACCCACAGCCCCGATCCTCGGGCCTCCGCTCGGTCCCACGGGATCCCGGGAGCCCCGCGGATCCCGGGAACCCACGGGGGAGGCCGGCCCCCCGGAACGGCCGCTTGAGGCGCCCCGCGAGGCGGCCACGATGGGAAACTTCAAAGACGCAGAGGGGATGCGGGCAGCTTCCGTCCACAGACCCCGCCAGGGACCCGACCCAAAGCAAGGCTCCGGCTCGCTCGGGCCCCAACCGCGTGCGCAGAACCCCAGGCTCCGGCCTTCCCCTCAGGGGCCCCTCTCCCCGCCCGGGCCAGCGCGCCGCCTCCGGCCGCGGCCCACGCGGCCCAGGACCCGGACCTGAGGCAGGAGAGAAGCCGAGGCGCCCGGCATGAGGCAGCAAAGAAAGGAACGCGCGCCGCGGGGCACCACGCGGAGCAGGGCCTTTTGTTCCTCCTCCTCCCCGTCAGCCCCGGAAGTTACTCACCTAGAAGGTGCCGGTCCCGCAGAGCCGGGCCACAGGATCGCTGAGAACGCCTCGCCTCCGCCGCGCCGCCGCTTCTAACGCGCGCGCAAAGAAGATGGGGGCTGTCCCGGCAGCCCTTGCGCCCGGTGCGAGTGGCCGCGGCCGCGCGGCCTCGGGCGCGCAGAGGCTGGCGGGGCGCCGGCGCAGCGTGATGACGTGGCGGTAGTTCCGCCCCTACTCCTCGGCCCTCCCCAAGAAATTGGGTTGCTGTGTCTGGCCTAGTGATAGAGAGGATGTTAGCGTAATTATTTGTTTTTGTTTGGGGGGTAAGGGGGTTGATTGTTTATTTGTTTTGTGTTTTTTTTTAGAGAGAGAGAGGAAAAAACATTATTTTTAACAATTAAAAAAATTTTTTAAACAATTTGTCCCGCGTCCCGAGGCGTTTTGTTTGGGGGGAAAGGGGGTTGATTGGGTTTTTTTTGTTTGTTTTTGTGGGTTTTTTTTTTTTTAGAGAGGGAGGAAAAAACATTACTTTTAACAATTAAAAAAAATTAACAATTTGTCCCACGTCCCCCAGCGTTAAAAAAAAAAAAAAAAAGTCCCGATTTTTTAAAACGCCGCGGGACGCGGGACTAATTGTTAAAAACCGGGATGTCTGGTCACCTTATGTTTGGGGGGGGTTGATTATTTATTTGTGTGTTTTTTTAGAGAGAGAGGAAAAAACATTATTTGTTGTTTCATTTCCAGCATTTATGCATTCATTGGTTGCTTCTTGTATGTGCCTGGGAATCAAACCCAGAAACCTTGGCGTATCAGATGAGCTAACCCAGTGGCAAACTCATTGGTCAACAGAGCCAAATATCAATAGTACAACGTTTGAAATTTTTTTTGCAAGCCAAATTTTTTAAACTTAAACTTCTTCTAACGCAACTTCTTCAAAATAGACTCGCCCAGGCCGTGGTATTTTCTGGAAGAGCCACACTCAAGGGGCCAAAGAGCCGCATGTGGCTCACGAGCCGCAGTTTGTCGACCACGGCTCTTACCAACTGAGCTACCTGGCCAAGGCAGTACAGTCATTTTAGAAAGCGACTTAGTAATGTCTGCTAAAGTTTAAAATGTGTATAGCAGATGACCCAAAATCCACTCCTAATAATATATTCTAGGAAATTTTTCACATCTGTGCACAAGAAAACATGCTCAAGAATATTCATAAAAATGTTGAATAAATGCAAAAAAAGGGGAGAGAGGTAACTAAATGTCCACTAAAAAAGTACAGGTAACTAAGTTGTGGTGTAATTAAACAATGACATAATAAGCAATATTGTGCCCTGGCCAGTATGGCTCAATTGATTGGGCATCCTCCCGTACACCAAAAATAAAAATAAAAATGCTTTTCCCTAACCAGGGCTGGTGATTGAGCCTGCAACCAAGGTATGTGCCCTTGACTGACAATAGCACCTGTGATCCCTCTAACCACTGAGCACACTGGCCAGGGCAAGACTGAACTTTTTTAAAAAATTATTTTTAATGTGTGTGTTTTTTTAAATCAATTTTAGAGAGAGAGCAAGGGAGAGGGAGAGATAGAAACATCCATGAGAGACAAACATCAATTGACTGCCTACTGCATGCCCTATACAGGGGATCAAGCCTGCAATCCTGGCATGTGCCCTCACTGGGAGGTGAACTGGTGACCTCTTGGTTCATAGGTCGACGCTCAACCACTGAGCTACACTAGCTGGGCAAGACTCTGAGCCTTTTACCTGAATATATGGCTGCCTATTTTTGCATCGGTCTATGATAGAATTGTAAGGACTTTACATGCTATTGTAGGACTTTAACTCGAAATGAATTATAGGGGTGGGCAAAACTAGGTTTACAGTTGTTCATTGGAAAGACATGCAGTTATGATTTACAATAGCTTTAATAATTTAAAAGAATAAACCCTATTTCCTATACTTACAACTGTAAGCTTACTTCTGCCCAACCCTATAAGTATCATCAAGATATTTGAACAGAAGAGTGGTAGGATCACAGTGTCTTAATGGATTATTTTGTTACTATGGTCAACAGGGATTTACCTGCTCATCAAGAAAAAAAGTACAAGGCAAGGTATCTCTCCAATCAAAAATCTGGCTGCAGCCCTAGCCAATTTGATTCATGGAATAGACATCAGCCTGTGGACTGAAGGGTCCCTGGTTCAATTCCGGTCAAGGGCACATGCCTGGGTTGTGAGCTTGATCCCCAATAGGGGGTGTGCAGAAGGCAGTCAATCAATGACTCTCTCTCATCATTAATGTTTCTATCTCTCTCTCTCTCTTCCTTCCTCTCTGAAATCAATAAAAATATGTTTTAAAAAACCCATTATTAAAAAAAAAAAACCTGGCTGCAAACTCTCCCCCAAGGCCAGAACTAAAGCTGCTTTACAAGTTGAGGAGACTAGGACACTGGATAACTGCCTGGATAGCTCTCCTTTTCTTCATATTAAATTCTTCTAAATGTTTGGTTTTTACAGACAAGGAATGGGAAAGATAGGGATGGGATCTGATGAGAAAGTTCCCGATCCTGAACTTATGAGTCAGGATGCTGTGCTACTTCCACAGATGGTTTTTAATATACTTTTACAGATGTTTTCTCATAAAACTTTGAGCGTCCTCATTGAAAAAGTATTTCAAAGCTTCAACTCATCCATTGCTATGGCCAAGAACATCCTTATTTATAACTTATGGAATAAACACACAGAGGTCCACAGATGTCACTATGGAAAGATGCCCAGTTAGAACTACTTTTCAAAACAGTACATGTATGCAAGATGAAAAACTCAACTAGGGAATACAAAGTCTGTGTCCAGCTAAGAGAATAATGGTAATTTAAATTGGGCACAATTTTTATTTAAATTTCCCAACCATTTCATAAACCAGGTATTTGCTGTGATTTTGGTAAGCTTGGACTAATGGGGCTTCTGAACAGTGTGCAATTCCTGCCCCACACCTTCTTAGAGAAGTTTCTTGTTCAAAGAGATAAAGGTTATAAATTCCATCACCTTGCCTTTTATATATATATTTATATATATTTATATATATTTATATATATTTATATATATTTATATATATTTATATATATTTTGTTGATTTTTTACAGAGAGAAAGGAAGAGGGATAGAGAATCAGAAACATCGATGAGAGAGAAACATCAATCAGCTGCCTCCTACACACCCCCCACTGGGGATGTGCCCAAAACCAAGGTACATGCCCTTGATCAGAATCAAACCTGGGACCTTTCAGGCCACAGGCCGATGCTCTATCCACTGAGCCAAACTGGTTAGGGTTCACCTTGCCTTCTTAATTTCTTTTAAAAGCAGAGGTAAGAAAGAGAATATTTTTTAATCGATAACATTGGGTGTCTTATATTTACTTAAAAACACTAGAAAATAGTTTTATGTGTCTTTTGTCTTCATTGGACATCCTAAGATGTTGACAAAGGGGAAAAGTTATCTAGAAGAGTCCTCCTATAAGAGCTTGGCTAGGTCCCCAAGAATAAATGCCCTATGATAGAAACGAGTATAGAAAAGCGAAAAAAGCTCTATGACTTTTTCAAAGACCTTTAAAAAAATTATGGAGAACAAAATCCTTTAAAACTTCCCTGTTGTTTTTTTTTATTATTATTATTATTTCCTAAAATTCCTTACTATTCTTTCTCCCATATGATTAAAAACCAAAGTCCCAGTAAGAAACTAGAAAAATTTCCTGGCAAGTGGAATAAGAAAACTGAGACAAATGACCGAACAATTAGCTAATAGCTGAGCAATTAATAGTCAGTTGATGAATCATAAGACGGTTGTCCCAAACCAAAGACACCTAAGAACGGTGGTTTAAATCACTTTAGAAAGAAAGAAAGATAAAACACATACACACACATACACATACACACACAAAGACTAATCCACAATAGAGGTGAAACTAAGCAGAGAATAACCCTAAATTTCATTACACACTAATTTTATTTTTTAAATTTAATTCAAATAACTTTTTATTTATTTATATTTTTAAATTGATTTTAGAGAGCGAGAAATGGGGACAGAGAAAGAGAGAGATGGAAGAGGTAGAGGCGTACAGGCTCATTTTAATACATCAGCATACTAAACGACACACCCAGAAATCTACTCACTATTCTGTTGAGATCCTCCCCTGGGATGTCTCCTAAAATTCCTGCCTGTAGAAAATAGAAAAAACCTGCCAAAGCCAGTTTGGCTCAATGGATAGAGCATCAGCCTGAGGACTGAAAGGTCCCGGGTTCGATTTCAGTCATGGGCACGTACCTTAGTTGCGGGCACATCCCCAGTGGGGAGTGTGCAGGAGGCAGCTGATTGATGTTTCTCTCTCATCGACGTTTCTAACTCTCTATCCCTCTCAATTCCTCTCTGTGTAAAATCAATTAAAAAAAAAAAAAAATATATATATATATATATATATTATAGATAAAATCCACAGGACAAAGGACACCAGCGTGTGCAGTTCCTTGAGCATTCCCGTACCCCCTTTCCTCAGGTGTGTACCTTGCTTCTTCTAGCCTAAGCTCTTAGGGTCGGATGAGACCTGCTCCCAGGGGAGCAAGAATTAGTAACAGCAACTCATCCAAGCTTACGCCCTGATCCTGCCTCCAGGGGTCCTTCCTCTGCCTCAGTCCCAAGCTTTAAGAAACTTACACTTTCACGTAAGCTCGTGTATTGAAATTTTTCCAGCACAAGTCAAGAACCTGGAGGTCGAGAAGGATCTGGACTATGCCGGGGCAGGGCCAACCCTGGTGAGAAAGCGGCCCAGTAACACCAGCTGGTACTTTGTCAGATTTAGCCCCACTTTCTCTTTTGCTTTCTGTTTGGAATTCTTGAAGAAGTCCCAAAGTATTGAAAATTCATACCTAAACTGCATATT